CTGACTGTCAGCTCCTGGTTTGCTGCAGCAGATAGAAAGAATCCACCCCCACTCTTCTGGCTGCCGTGCAAGTCTGGGAACTTTCTGGTTTTCCTGTGGTGTTAAAAGGGTCCCTCCATCTGTTCAGGACTAGAAACGTAAATCTTAAAGTGTCTCATCTTTTCATTGGACATGGGACAGTCTTTTCATATCTTCTTGATTCAAGCAGCTGTGAAGCAGTGGGAATTCTTTTTTGTTGCTCTAGAAGAGGGGGAAACTGAGTCCTGAGGTTGCCATAAGTCAACAGGCAACTTAGTCAAAGTTAAGGTTTTCCTCTGACATTAAGTCCAGTCGTGTCCAACTCTGCGGGTGGGTGTTTATCTCCATTTCTAAGCCGAAGAGCCAGCATTGTCCGTAGACACCCCCAAGGTCATATGGGCCAGCATAACTGCATGGAGCACTGTTACCTTCCCGCTGGAGCGGTACCTATTAATCTAATCACATTTGCATGTTTTTGAACTGATAGTTTGGCGGAAGCTGGGGCTATCAGCGGGAGCTCATGCTGCTCCCTGGATTTGAACCTGTGACCTTTTGGTCAACAAGTTTAGCAGCTCAGTGTTTTAACCCACAGCACCACCGGGGGCTGCCATTATTGTATTACATTATAATATTTAGGCTTGGGCAATCCCAAGCCTAAATATCCCAATTGGTTCTAAATGGTTCTAAAGTACTTACAAAACTAAAGTTCTGGTGGTGAAAATTTCAGAACTCTAACAAAACTCTCAAAATTTCATAATAAATGGCAGTTCCTAATTGGTTCTGTCATTAAAATCACCAATAATGAAATAATAATTAAATTTTGAAAGTTTTGTTAGAATTCTGAAATTTTCACCACCAGAACTTTAGTTTTTTAAGTACTTTAGAACCATTTAGAACCATGGATTGCCCAAGCCTAATAATATTATAAGTATTATATTAATATATATATAATATAATATATATTAAGTACAACATTGTCGCAATGACTCTAAAGTGGACCTTTCACATGGTTTTCTTGACAAGCTATATATAGATTAGTCCAATGAGGTTGGGAGGGTATAACTTGCCCAAGGTCACCCAGGAGATTTCCATGGGCAAATGGGGATTTGAGCTGTGCTTTCCGAAGTCGATGTCCCAAAGCTCAAGCCACTACACTATGCTAAATGTCTTTGTCCCTAATGCGCAATGCTTATTGCTCTTACTTGGGGCTGCCCAGATCTCTGGTGCTGGCCCAGTAATAATATATTTCATTTATATTCCGCTCTGTCTCCTACAGAGCGGAATCTGTGTTTTTTTTTTAAATAAAAAATCTGTTTTGTTCTGTTAGAAATGTAATCCAGTAGTATGGTTGCTGATGACACGATAAATAAATAAATCCCCGAGGGGACTCGGGTTGGATCACAGAACACATATACGGCAAACATTCAATGCCGTTATACAATTAACAAGGACAGACAATACATAAACAGATGTAAAGGCTTTTTCCATCCTTTTCTAGGACTTGGGACAATCTGGAGCTGGCAACCTTCATATAATACCATGTTTAAGCAAGGTACAGAGGGGGTCAGCCCCCCTTTACTGGGCAGCTAAATTACTGAATTAGGAAGCCTAAACTGGTCTTGTTAAACGATGGTGTGAACCAGGTTTGGAGGATAGACTCCAACATAGCTGTGTGCATTACCCATCCCTATCGCATAGTGCTGGCAGCTTAGTGTGAACATTTCTGCGAGAGATGTGAGAGATGAATTTCCTCCCATTTTCCCAGCTGAGAATGAAGTAGCGGGTCTCTCCTATTTCTAGAGGTGCTCCCGCCGCATAGTGTGATATAGAGGACCTGGGACTTGGTTTGACCCCCTGAAATGCATGATAGTTCTCATCCTTATGCTTGAATTGTGAGAGAGAGAGAGCAAGAAAGGACTCTGACGTTTACCTTTTCTGTTAGTCTTGTGAGTTGCTGGGTCTATGTGCGAGAGAAAGAGAAGACTTGGCTAAAATGAGTTTGTGTCTGCCATAAAGCGGTCTTATAGCAGGAGCCCTGTCAAGTCCAACCCTTTGGAAAGGCCCAGGAGCTCAGCGAGAGCACGGCAGCGCTCCCAAAGCTCCCGTCGCAAAGAGAGCAGGTGTCAGTTCATAGAATCACTTGGTTTCTTAAATGTGGTCCTTCGTATTACTTTCAGTCTATTTGTGCAGACTTTCACGCCTGCATGAGTGAATGGCTCGGCGGCGGCTGCAATCCCCTTTGCTCTCATCCCCTTGTTGCTTCTTCTGTTGTGACGATGGGGGGGGGGGGTTGTTTTGTTTTTAAGCTAAGAGGCTTCCTAGCGTTTCACACCTTTTCCAATATTGTGTAGTAACACACTCCATTTAGTAACACAGATAAGGGAAGCTGATATAATATATCACTCACAACCATCCTTTAGGTCAGTGCGAACCATAATAAGAGCCCTGCCACGCTCCGTTTCTGCCTCCATTTCCCATATTTTTGCATGTTACTTCACCTTAGTTTGTGTCCCCACCTTGTATTTCAACTGGTGATGCAAAAAGGCAGGAAAACAAATCACTTGCAACGTCAGATACTAAAGCTTTGAAATAAGGTCTTTGAAGATAAACATTTCCCCGACTGCGAACTCCCAGAATCCATTGTGAGCAGAGCCCAAAGCACTCTGAAGTTTCATCATACCGATCTTTTAGAGAAATACCCCTGTACAAGGAGGTACATACAGTTGTTTGAATCCTCATGCAGCGACGTGTGTGTTCTTCTTATGTTCTTGGAATCATAATGTTAGAAACAGTCTTCAAAATCTGTTTGCATCCTGACATATAGTGAACATATTTGCCCTGACACGGGCTGTGATCAAAGCCGTTCTTTCCCCCATCCTCACATTTAGAGGGTGCCTAACTTTTTGGTCTCGTTTGCCGGGTGTTTTTGGTTATGTTTTGTTTACACTGGCCAATCGGAATGCTGAAGGCAATCCAAAGTTGTCCAGTTTTAATTTTATACAAATTCCGTAGGAAAGAGAACCACTAGTCTCATGTTGACAACCAAATTATTGGTTGCCAACATGGAAAACCAATGAAAAATCATAAAAGGGGTGATGAATAGTGCCCACCCTAGTTGCCCATGGATTTGCAGCATACCCTATGAATGGTAAGAGACAAAGCTGAAGTACTTTGGCCACATCATGAGAAGAAAGGAAAGCTTAGAGAAGACAATGATGCTGGGGAAAATGGAAGGAAAAAGGAAGAGGTGCCGATCAAGGGCAAGATGGATGGATGGCATCCTTGAAGTGACTGGCTTGATTCTGAAAGAGCTGGGGGAGGTGACGGCCGACAGGGAGTTCTGGCGTGGGCTGCTCCATGAGGTCACAAAGAGTCAGAAACGACTGAACGAATGAACAACAACAACAATGAATGGTTGATTCCTAACATACTCACCAAGCAGTCTAGCAACACAAGCAAAAGGCTTTGATTCAGTTGAAATCCAATTTACTAATGCCTTGAAAGATCTCCAGCTTCTACAAAGATAACCACCTGAAGCCTAAGCCTGCCAAGAAACAAGTGTGTGCTCTCCACCTACGCAACCGGGAAGTCAACAGGACATTGAAAGTTACCTGAGAAGGCCAAGAGCTTGAACACTGTCCCCATCCTAAATATCTCGGCGTCACCTTAGATCGTACACTAACATTTAGGAAACACTGTGCGAACATCAAGCACAAAGTAGCTGCATGCAATAACATTCTGTGGAAACTTATTGGCAGCACATGGGGTGCAGAAACAAAATTAAGAAGAACATCAGCCCTGGCCTTGTCTTGCTCAGCTGCTGAATATGCCTGCCCTGTTTGGCATAAGTCTGCCCATCCAAAGCAGGTAAACATAGCATTGAACGAAACATGCAGAATAATCACAGGATGTCTTAAACCTTTGGCATAAGTCTGCCCATCCAAAGCAGGTAAACATAGCATTGAATGAAACATGCAGAATAACTATAGGATGTCTTAAACCTTTGGCATAAGTCTATCCATGAAAAGCTGGTGAACATAGCATTGAACGAAACATGCAGAATAATCACAAGATGTCTTAAACCTTTGGCATAAGTCTGCCAATCCAAAGCCGGTAAGCATAGCATTGAACGAAACATGCAGAATAATCACAGGATGTCTTAAACGTACACCTGTTGATGAACTCTATAAGCGAGCTGGCATTGCCCCCCCCCCCGATGTGCGACGGGAAGTTGCTGCTAAATGTGAGAGAAATAAGATTGAACACTGTGAAAGCCACCCACTGCATGGCTACCAGCCTCCTCCCAGTAGACTGAAATCGAGGAAAACCTTTATGAGTACTACCACTCTTCTTGGCATCCCCCCAGCAAGAGCAAGGGTATCCCTCTGGGCAGCTAAACCAGGACATCCCAACTGGATGGCCCCCCAGGAGCTTTTTCCAGGGGCAAACCAAGAATGGGCAACCTGGAAGTCCCTGAACAGACTCAGAAGTGGAGTGGGCAGATCAAAAGACAACCTGGCAAAATGGCACTACCTAAAAGAATCCCATACCTTGTGTGACTGTGGAGCAGAACAGACAACTCTGCATCTGTATGCTTGCCCACTATGCCCTGCCTCATGTACAGAAGAAGAACTGTTGGAGGCTACAGACAATGCCGTTGCTGTTGCCTGTTTTTGGTCAAAAGATATTTAGCCACTTGCACTCCTTCTATTTTTATCAGTTTTATACTAATTTATGCAATTCTTTTGATACAAAATAAATAAACCAAGCAGTCAATCGAAGAACTTGAGCTATTTTTGCCTTGCGTGAGGAACATGTAGAAATAACTTTTCTGAAATGCTGAGAAGCCACTGTTCTGCCTTTAGCCGTTATCGATTCTTGGTAGTTCTGAGAATACCGTTTCCCTGTCCTTATAACCTCATTTTATACGACTACTAAATAACAGCTAGTCTTTGATCTCTTTCTCTTTTTTTCCCTTACAGCAAAAGCAAACCAGCTCCACAAATTTCGCCCAGCAAATCTGTGGGAGGAGAATTCTGCGTCGCTGCTGTCTTTGGGTCATCCAGATCTTGGTTTGCAAGCAATCCAGGCCTGAAAAGAGAGAAAGGTTTGTATTTGGAGCAAACAACATATATATCAAGACTTAGTACCATTAATCCAGCTATTACGGTATTGACTCCAGTAGTTGCTTGGGACTGACCTCGGATCTTTTATGTATGCAACAGGAGCCCTTCCGTACAGCTGTGGCCTTCTCCCAACCAGTACTAGTTTATCACTTTTGCCTTGTCTGTGAATTGCAGTCCATGGATTTTTGCACAGCTCTTCTCTCAGAGTGGAAATGTTAACCATGGTACTAAGTGTTCCCAGAAATATATATGTATATAAGAGAGAGAGAATGACACCACAAACAAAGTTTAAAACTTGCCATTATGCTAAATGTCCTTTGACTAGACGCTGGCCACTTGCCCCTGATGTCACTGTAAGGAGGTCCTCCATTGTGCATGTGGTGGGGCTCAGACTGCATTGTAGTAAACAGTCTGTGGTTTGCTCTCATCCACACTTGCATGTCATGTGGATGAGAACTGCTTAACTTGCTGACCAAAAGGCTGGCAGTTTGACTCCAGAGAGCAGAGTGAGCTCCTGCTGTTAGACCCAGCTTCTTCAAACCCTAGCAGTTCAAAAACATGCAAATGTGAGTAGATCAATAGGTACCGCCTTGGCGGGAAGGTAATGGCACTCCATGCAGTCATGTTGGCCACATGACCTTTGTCGTGGACTCCACTTTGTGGACCCATTTTTTAAGGTTAGCTCTGCATCTCGTGGTGCCAGAGCATAGTCTGTTCAGCACCTTCCAAGTCGCCCAGTCCTCTGTGTGTTCAGGAAGGAGTTTCTTCTCTGGTATCAGCCACTGATTGAGTTTCTGGGTTTTAGCCTGCCACTTTTGGACTCGTGCTTGCTGAGGTGTTCCAAAGAGTGTCTCTGTAGATTTTAGGAAGCTATTTATTGATTTAAGGCGTTGGCATGCTGGCTGATATCCAAACACAGGATGGGCCAGAGATGTCACTACTTTGGTCCTTTCATTGCTGGCAGCTACTTCCCGACGGATGTCAGGTAGTGCAATATTGGCAAAACAGTATAATTTCTCCAGTGGTGTAGGGTCTAGACATCCTGTGATAATGCGGGATGTCTCATTAAGAGCCACATCCACTGTTTTACCGTGGTGAGATGTATTCCACTTTGGGCATGCATATTCAGCTGCAGAGTAGCAAAGTGCAAGGGCAGATGTCTTCACTGTGTTTGGTTGTGATCTCCAGGTTGTGCCAGTCCACTTTTGTACAATATTATTTCTAGCACCCACTTTTTGCTTTATATTCAAGCAATGCTTCTTGTAAGTCAGAGCATGGTCCAGAGTGACTCCAGGTATTTGGGTGTGCTGCAATTCTCCAGTGGGATTCCTTCCCAGGCAGTCCTCAGAGCTTGAGATACTTGTCTGTTCTTAAGGTGAAAAGCACACGCTTGCATTTTCAATGGATAACGGATCAGCTGGTTTCCCTTGTAATAGGCAGTGAGAACACCTTAAGCTTTGGCGAGCTTCTGTTCAGCTCAAGAGGATCGAGAGGCCCTGCTCTCAATCCTGCCTGCGTCACAAACACGTTTGGTGGGGACGAGAGACAGGGCCTTCTCAGTGGTGCCCCCTCGGCTATGGAATGCCCTTCCTGGGGACATTAGTTCGGCCCTCTCCCTCTTAACATTTCAGAAGAGAGTCAAGACTTGGTTGTTTGAGCAAGCGTTTGAAAATGCAAGGTAAAAGACATAGCAATTGGAACGACTGGACGATGAGATGGGAAAATGTTTTTATTAAGAGACACAAATGATGTATGCTTTTAGCATTCTTGTTAGGGGTTTATATTATGTGTTAATGTTTTTAAATGTTTTATGGTGTTTTTGGGCATCGAATCGTTGCCATTATCAACTGCCCTTTGTCGCCTGAGGGATCAAAAGGGCAGTATACAAATACAGTAAGTAAATAAATAAATAATTTCAAAGCTCCCTGCTTGAGTGGCGATGGCACAATCGTCAGCATAGATGAAACTCTGTACCTTCTGGAAGTGGCTGGTCATTTGTGTAGATGTTAAGCATTGATGGAGCAAGCACGCTCCCCTAAAGCATCTGCTTCCCTGGCCCCTGAACTCAACAAAAAAGCTCCTGTTTTGTAGCAGATTTCCTATGAAGCGGGTGAAGAACAGAGTGATGTCTAAAAGCAAAGCAGCAAACTACAACTTGAGAAGTAAACAAACAAAAATGATGTTGCTGCTTCATTTCCATCCTTTTAGTAGTTAGAAATTAAATTGTTACCTGTTTCAAGTAGCTAATAATAATAATAATAATAATAATAATAATAATAATAATAAAGTAATAAAATTATAAATAATAATAATACATATAATAATATTAATAATATTAAATAATTAAATTGCCACCTGTTCCAAGTGCCGCTATCAAGACGTCAAAATTGAACTGCAAAGGCATAAACCAGTACAGGTGGTCCCAGTGGTCATTGGCGCACTGGGTGCTGTGCCGAAAGATCTCAGCCGGCATTTGGAAACAATAAACATCGACAAAATCACGATCTGTCAACTGCAAAAGGCCACCTTACTTGGATCTGTGCGCATCATTCAAAAATACATCACACAGTCCTAGACGCTTGGGAAGTGTTCGACTTGTGATAATTATATTATTATTATTATTATTATTATTATTATTATTATTATTATTATTATTATTATTATTATTATTGTGATACGAAATCCAGCATATAGATCTCGTTTGCTGTGACATACTATGCTTTTGTGTAAATAATAATAATAATAATAATAATAATAATCTTATTATTTTACTGTTGATAGAGAGGTAACGCTTTCAAAGTGGTTGGATGGAGGAAGGTGAGGCAAGGATAACAGGAAACTGATAGTTCGCAGAACACTCCTGTACATTTCTACAGTCTTATATACATGTCAGAACTAAGTCCCATTAAGTTAAATCAAGCTCACTCCCAGCTAAGTGAGTATAGAATTGCAGCCAGAAAGAAAATGTGTTGAGAATAGTCAAGGGTTTGTATTGAAACAACCTGAGAAATTTCAGGATAAATGTTTAGATTTCTCTGCCTGATGGAGAGCAGGGAAGTCAGGCTGGAAGGTTTATTCTGCTGTCAAGATCACAGAGCTCTGGGAGATGGGGTTAAATACACACCCCTCCTTTTGTAAAATACCATTTGCGACGAACAAGCCAGGTGATTAACCTACTGTTTGCGAAAGCGGTTCCCATTGTTCGCCAAAGTGTTTATGCCTTTGTGGGTGAGAAGCAATTAGGAAACATCTGGGAGGGAATAAAGCGAAATGAAATATCATTCCATATTCTTGTCCCCGAACAGATCAGTCCAGGCAGTTTGTGGTGGAGTCTCTGTACATCATCAGCTGCTACGGCACTTTGGTGGAGCACGTCCTGGAGCCCAGGCCCCTCAGCACCGCCCCAAAGATCAGCGATGACACCCCGCTGGAAATGGCCACTTGCCCAAGGGCCAGCTGGACGCTGGTCAGGTAGACCACCCTTTCTCCTTGGTTGTGCTGATGTCATTTTATGGAATGTATAGGAATATTTAGAAATAATTTAAAATGGGTTGCTGTAGGTTTTTTGGGCCATATGGCCATGCTCTAGAAGCATTCTCTCCTGACGTTTCGCCTGCATCTATGGCAAGCATCCTCAGTGGTCTGGCATTTCTGTGTTCTCGGATAATATTCTGTGTCCAAATTGGTTCATAAGGTGCTCTGCTATGGCTGACAACTCCCAACAAAAGATTCCCCCAGGCAGGAAGCAGCCAGGCTTTGAAACTACAAGGCCATTCAATTGTAAGGTGGACAGTGGCAACACTCACACTTGCCTCAAACAGAGAAGAGCTCTTTCTCCCACCCTGGACATTATTCCACAGATATATATACAGTATATATACAGTGTGTGTGTGTGTACAGTGTATATATAGTGTATATATAGTGTATATACACACACACACACACACACACATACCCCACTTGCCTAGTTTCCATCAGACCTCACAACCGCTGAGAATGCCAGCTATAGATGTGGGCGAAACATCAGGAGAGAATGCTTCTAGAACATGGCCATATAGCCCGAAAAACCTACAACAACCCAGTGATTCCAGCCATGAAAGCCTTAGACAATACAATAAATTAAAAAAAAATTGGGTGCCACGAAACCCTGAAGAGAAGAGTCCTGGACTGATGAGAATCTTTGCCCAGAATCTTTGCAATTATGTTTCCCCAAAAAGAGACTTTTAAAACAATTTACAATAAGTTTTATAAAAATGTAACCAAAACAGTTAAAATGTGACATTTTGGTGCCCACACAGCACATACATACCAAAACATAAACAAAACCCTATCCTAAGTGAATGGGGATCCACATCCGCTTCTCAAAAAAGGTCTTTTTATTGATGATAAACAGTACAGAGAGATGTTGTCAAAAGCTTTCATGGTCAGAATCACTGTGTTGCTGTGAGTTTTGCAGGTTGTATGATCATGTTCCAGAAGCATGCTCTCCTGATGTTTCGCCCATATCTATGGCTGGCATCCTCAGAGGTTGTGAGGTCTGATAGAAACTAGGTAAGTGGGGTATATGTGTGTGTGTGTGTGTGGCCCCTGTGTGGCCCAGTCTGTGTGTATGTATTTTGTGTGTGTATATGTTTGTGTATATGTGTATATATGTGGTTTTGCGTATGCGCTGTAATGTATTTTTTATTTTTTGGCTTTTTAAGTCTCTTCCGCTGTGTTTTCTAGTGTTTTTTATGAGTGATAGTCACTCATTGGCCTCAGAGGGGTATTGTGTCCAAATTTGGTGTCAATTCATCCAGTGGTTTTTGAGTTCTGTTAATCCCACAAATGAACATTACATTTATATATCTATCTATATATAGACGCTGGCGCAGTGGGTTAAACCCCTGTGCTGGCAGGACTGAAGACCGACAGGTCGCAGATTCGAATCCGGGGAGAGGCGGACGAGCTCCCTCTATCAACTCCAGCTCCTCATGTGGGGACATGAGAGAAGCCTCCCATAAAGATGATAAAAGCATCAAATAATCCGGGCATCCCCTGGGCAATGTCCTTGCAGACGGCCAATTCTCTCACACCAGAAGCAACTTGCAGTTTCTCAAGTCACTCCTGACACAACAAAAAAAAATCTATCTATTTACTGTATATATATCTGTGGAATAAAGAGCTCTTCTGTGTTTGAGGCAAATGTGAATGTTGCCATTGTCCACCTTGATTACAATTGAATGGCTTTGCAGCTTCAAAGCCTGGCTGCTTCCTGCCTGAGAGAATCTTTTGTTGGGAGTTGTCAGCCATAGCAGAGCACCTGGTGAACCAATCTGGACACAGAATATTATCCAAGAACACAGAAATGCCAGACCACTCTGACAACCACCATGTCAGGCGACACAGAAAAGCCACTGAAATCCACAAGCATGTGGACAATTTCAACAGAAAGGAGGAAACCATGAAAATGAACACAATCTGTCGACAAGTATTTTAAAAAAACACTAGAATCAGGACAGAAAATAAAAAGCAACACTAAAAAAATAAGGGAATTCCAGACAGGATACAATCAGGGCCAGTTAAAACTTCCCAACAAAGGATTCCCCAGACAGGAAGCAGCCAGGCTTTGAAGCTGCAAGGCCAATCAATGCTAATCAAGCTGGCCAATGACAACAGGCGACAACAGTTCTTTCTCCCACCCTGGACATAATTCCACAGATATACAAAGCTCACTTGCTTAGTTTCCAATAGACCTCACAACCTCTGAAGAGGGCAGACTTTGTCCATGTGAATTGATGAATGGTGAGTGGAGAGATGCACATCAGTCATGCTGGTTCCAGTGGATCTCCCTTGTTGTACATAGCTGTTGGAGTTAGGCTTGCGTCTGCGTATCTTTGCCCCCTCATAGCCTCATTGGAGGAAAGGCCGAGGCAGGCGGCAGACAGGTTGGCCCCTCGGAAAGCTCCCCAGAGCCAAATCAAGCTGAGGAGCTGCCCATTTGCCCACGAGTGCCTAGACCCATCATCCCAGGCAAGTCTCTCAACCTGGCGTTCTCTGAAGGCCGTAAAAAAATAAACGAGAGGTGGGTCTAAAACAGAGAATGAAACAAAAGAGGGATTGCTGAAGGGGGAAATTGTCTGTGCTTTTGACATTTTAAAATATTTTTGATTGATTTTGTCGAAGGAAGGATAGGCTCCAATCTTCTTCAGTCCTGGCTCATCCCTGGCCTTCGCGGATCAATACGTGATTTTTCAAGCGACTGACGAGAGTCCAGCCCTAATTAAAATGACAACAGGCCGACGTTCAGGGCCGGGATTGTCAAAACAAGGAACTTATAATGGGATTGCAAATTCTGGCTGGATCAATATCTTGTAACTTTGCATTTTCGACGATTGGGCTGAGTTTGGAGGCCTCCGCAGTCCTTCAGTGGGGTACAATGACCCAAAACACAGTAGGAAGGAATGTACGAACGTTCAAAGAAAARTAATGCCTCCACCTTCGTTACTTGGGTTTGGATGGGAATATTTTAATAAATCAAACTCAGAAATAATCCTTAGAATGTGCTCTTTAACTACCACTATTCACTTTTCCACATAATCACCAGACAATTGGATACATTTCTGCCAATGATGAACAAGTTTTCTGAAGCCATCACAAAAGAAGTCAACACTCTGTTTCCACAACCAGTGCATCATAGTTCTCTCATCCTGGGTACCCATYGTGCACAGATCTTCTGATAGCCAAGCAAAGCAATAATGTGACCCACACGTTCTTGTGAAATGCCGATTATGCTTGGAATTTCTCTCTGAGTTTGGATGGGACTATTTTAATAAATCAAATACAGAAATAATGCTTAGAATGCTCCTTAACTATCACTATTCACTTTCACACATAATCACCAAACAATTGGATACATTTCTGCCAATGATGAACAAGTTTTCTGAAGCCGTCACGAAAGAAGTCAACACTCTGTTTCCGCAACCAGCTTCTCACAGTTCTCTCATCCTGAGTACCCATTGTGCACAGATCTTCCGATAGCCAAGCAAAGCAATAATGTGACCCACACGTTCTTTGAAATGCCGATTATGCTTGAAAWTTCTCTCTGAGTGATACGACAATCGTCCTGAATCAATCTATCACCAGACAATTGGATACATTTTTTGCCAACAATGAACAAGTTTTCTGAAGCCGTCACAGAAGAAGTTGACACTCTATTTCCGCAACCAGTGTCTCACAGTTCTCTCAACGTCTTCATCAGAAGCATAACGATGTCCCTGCAGATCTTCTTTCATTATCGGGAACAGATGGAAGTCAGATGGTGCTAAATCTAGACTGCATGGAGGATGTCATATGATGGTGATATCCAGTCTCTGAAGTTTCAAGTTTGTGTGCTTTCATTTCAGGCGTCGGCATCCTGGGTACCCATCGTGCACAGATCTTCCGATAGCCAAGCAATAATGTGACCCAATAATGTGAAATGCCGATTATGCTCGAAATTTCTCTCTGAGTGATATGACAGTCGTCCTGAATCAATCTCTCAACCTTTTGTTTGTGAAACTCGGTGTTTGCTGTCACAGGACGTCCAACTCTTTGTTTGTCACGCAAGTCAGATGTTCCCACCCCAACATCTTCAAACTTACTCGCCCAATGACACACAGTACTCACATCAATACAATCACCATAAACAGCTTGCATTCTCTGATGAATCTCCTTTGGGTGACACCTTCTGCTGTCAAGAATTCAATGACTGCACGTTATTTAAGTCACATTGACCGACTGTCTGCATAGGATTTCATATTTTGCACTTTAATAACACAACCATTCAATGCTAATACTTCCCGCCAAAATGTAACTGTAGAGGAGAGTCTACTGAACAAGCCAGTACCTGCTACATACTAGTACTGCTATCTGTCGAGGAGTTACAAAGGTGGAGCAATTACTTTTCACTTTAACAACACAACTGTTCAATACTAAGGCTTCCTGCCAAAATGGAACTGTAGAGGAGAGTCTACTGAACAAGCCAGTACCTGCTACATACTAGTATTGCTATCTGTCGAGGAGTTACGAAGGTGGAGGCATTACTTTTCACTTTAACAACACAACCATTCAATGCTAATGCTTCCTATCAAAATGGAACTGTAGAGGAGGGGCTATTGAACAAGCCAGTACCTGCTGCATGGCAGTACTTCTATCTGTTGAGGAGTTACAAAGGTGGAGGCATTACTTTTCACTTTAACAACACAACCGTTCAATGCTCAGGCTTCCTGCCAAAATGGAATTGTAGAGGAGAGTCTACTGAACAAGCAAGTATCTGCCGCATACCAGTACTGCCATCAGTTGAGGAGTTATAAAGGTGGAGGCATTACATTTCATTCAACCCTCGTATGACCACAGCAGAAGCCTGTCCCCCTGTGTGCCTGGCTCTGTGTGATTTTCACAACTTGCTTAAGTTCTGGTCACTCGTTCCCCCTTCCCTGGGTGCCTGTGGGAGACTGTGCTCGTAGCAAACGACTTTAAATAATTATAAACACTACACTCTCTTGCATAAATAATTGGGATGCGATGACACAGATGCTGATTTTTCATCCAGCTGAAATATTAATACTCTTGCGTTGCTTCCGCAGAACTCCCCAGTGGAATGAACTGCAGCCGCCCTTTAACTTGAATCATCCGCTCCTCCTGGCCGCAGATTCCATGCAGTGTTACCAGTATCTCCTCATTGGCCGTAAGTCGCTTGGCATTTTCCCTTCACAGGGCTCGGCGTGTCGCTCTCCAGGAGCATAGCCGCCAGAAGTGAAGCTGTTGTGGCTTGAGGCTTTGGTGTTGACAGTACACGGGTTGGGTGTGCGTCCATGTCCAGTGGTTCGTGCCTTCATTCCCTTCCAGTTAGACTACTATATTGCAGTGTTGGATTGTCCTTGTCATCTGATAGACTTACTCTACAGATGCCAAATCTGTCAAACAGGAGATTCAGAGATGTGCAGATTTGGGGCTATATATATTATATACACTATAATAATACTGTAATGTAGTAATAAGATAAAGACATTAAGTCCAATCGTGTCTGACTCTGGGGGTTGGTGCTCATCTCCATTTCTAAGCCGAAGAGCCGGCGTTGTCAATAGACACCTCCAAGGTCATGTGACCGACATAATATATAATAATAATATTTTAATGTAGTAATAAGATAAAGGTTTCTCTTTGACATTAAGGCCAGTCGTATCCAACTCGAGGGGTTGGTGCTCATCTCTATTTTTAAGCTGAAGAGCCGGCTTTGTCCATAGACACCTCCAAGGTCATGTGGCGGGCATAGTAATATATAATAATATTGTAAAGTTGTAATAAGATAAAGGTTTTCACCTGACATTAAGTCCACTCATGTCCAACTCTGGGACTCATATCCATTTCTAAGCCAAAGAGCCGGCGTTGTCCAGAGACACCTTCAAGGTCATGTGGTCGGCATAACAATACATAATAATCTTGTAATGTAGTAATAAGATAAAGGTTTCCCCTGACATTAAGTCCAGTCGTGTCCAACTCTGGGACTCTGGTGCTCATATCCACTTCTAAGTCAAAGAGCTGGCATTGTCCGTAGACACCTCCAAGGTCATGTGGCCGGCTTAATCATATATAATAATATTGTAATGTAGTAATTAGATAAAGGTTTTCCCCTGACATTAAATCCAGTCATGTCCAACTCTGGGAGTTGGTGCTCATCACAATTTCTAAGCTGAAGAGCCAGTGTTGTCTGTAGACACCTCCAAGGTCATGTGGCCAGCATGACGACAAATACTCCCACTAAAAGCCTTCCTCCTTCTATGGTTAGCTGGCCTCTCAACCAAGGGAAGAGCTGTTTCTGAGACTCCAAGCAGGAGGGGAGAGCAGGCATGCTCACTGTCCATTCCTCCCAAATCCCTCCAATATTTTCTGTTGGTATTGGGGGTTCTTGTATTGTGGTGTTGTGGTATTGTACTGGTATTGTGGGAAGTTTGGCCCAATTCTATCATTGGTGGGGTTCAAGGGACTCTTTGATTGTAGGTGAACTATAAATCCCAGCAACTACAACTCTCCAATGTCAAGGTCAATTTCCCCCAAACTCCACCAGTGTTCACATTTTGGCATATTGAGTATTCATGCCAAGTTTGATCCAGATCCATCACTGTTCGAGTCCACACTGCTCTCTGGATGTAGGTGAACTACAACTCCAAAACTCAAGGTCAATGCCCACCAAACCCTTCTAGTGTTTTCTGTTGGTCATGGGAGTCCTGTGTGCCACGTTTGGTTCAATTCCATCATTGGTGGAGTTCAGAATGCTCTTTGATTGTAGGTGAACTATAAATCCCAGCAACTACAACTCCCAAATGACAAAATCAATTTTTTTGAGTGAAGGACATACATTGGGTTGTTAGGTGTATGCTGTCCAAACTTGGTGTCAATTTGCCTTGTGGTTTTTAGGTTATATTAATCCCACAAATGAACAATACATTTTTATTTATATAGATATGTATCTGTTCCAACTTACAAACATATTCAACTTTAGAACAAACCTAAAAAACTGATTGTGTTCATAACTTGGGGACTTTGCTGTCGATCTTGAGAGTTCTGTGTACTGAGTTTGGTTCAATTCTATTGTTGGTGGAGTTCAGAATGCTCTTTGATAGTAGGTAAACTACAAATCCCAGCAACTACAACTCCCAAATGACAAAATCAATCCCCACCCAACCCCACCAGTATTCAGATTTGGGCATATCAGGTATTTGTACCAAATGTGGTTAAGTGAATGAGAATACATCCTGCATATCAGATATTTACATTATAATTCATAACAGTAGTAAAATTACAGTTATGAAGGAGCAACGAAAATAATGTAATGGTTGGGGGTCACCACAACAGGAGGAACTGTATTAAGGGGTCGTGGAATTAGGAAGGTTGAGAACCACTGATTTAGAAGGAAGGGGTGGTAAGGACCCCTCTGTGTTGGAGAGCCTGGAGAGACACTCCCAGTCGGCAATTCTTTTGCTGGCGTAGCAAAAGGCAGCTTATAATTGGAAGCCATGTTTGGAATAATTTGATTTTGTGGCTGCCTTGTCTTTTGCCTGCATGCCAAGAGGTGGAACTGATTTGGGTATCAATTCAGCAAAATTTGTATCCTATTTTTCTATAGATCTGTAGGCTCTTCCTGTTTATTGTCAGCACTGCCATCTTGCCAATGAGCTCACTCTTCAAACCTGCTCTTGTCTTTCATATGTGTGTGTCCATGCACATGTGTTTTTAAACTCTCTTGAGAATTCTTGGCTTGAGATGTGCCAGTTTCATTTGACTCCCCCCAGACGCTAATTTGTGCGCGAAAACCGAAAAAGTGGAGACTCTAATTTAATATCTCTAGATCCCAGGCAGCAAAGTGGAAGCGCTTAATCCAATCGGCTTGGTGGATGGCAGGCCTCCCATAGTATGTTGTCTTGCATAGGCAGACATCTTCCGTGGTATCTGGCATGCGTTGCTATGGGGAAGAGAGAGAGCTAGGCTGGTAAATTAATTCCACTATTAAAGAGGAGAAGGAAAGCAATAACCATAAAGAAGCTGAATTGTTTGGAGGGAAGCAACTTAGATTAACAAAAATTGCTGTTGTCTTGGAAATTTGATATGATCTGCCTCTTCTCTCACAACTTATGCAACAATTTAGAACAAAGTTTTCCAGCCCTCATCCTTAAAACCTTCCTGTTTGGCCAGGAGGCCATTTTAGTAATGGGCAAACTAAAAGCAAAGTCTGGTTAGGTGTCCAAGACGGACTCATCCAATACCATTGGTGGACTTCAGGTTCCTAAACCCAAAATATGTATGATCTGAGACAAAACTGTGTCTGTTTGTGATCCCCAGTCAGCTTTCGTATGATATTATTTCTAGCTTTTTGCTTGATATTCAAGCAGTGCTTCTTATAAGCTTATAGTGAAGACAACTGTCTCCCCGTCCTTAATGAAGGCCTAACCCCGACATTCTTCCTTCTTGGGTTCCCAACATTCCTCCTTCTTGGGTTCTACTTCTATCTCATCCAGGGTTTTATCATTGTATCTTGTGCTCTGTGATTCTATGAACTAGGTTTCCATAACACAAACAAACAAATACATAGTAGCTTTAAATGCAGCAGCCTTCAAAGTGGAGCTTCTCTCACACTGAGGTTTACCTCACATTCCTCAGGACGACACCAACTTTGGCACACTAACTCTAAGAGGCTTTGGCCTGTTCACTCTCTTCTCAAGACGACACTAGCTTTTTCCTGCTTCTTGGCAGAATAGGGTTGGACTGGATGGCCCATGAGGTCTCTTCCAACTCTGTGATTCTATGAACTAGGTTTCCATAACACAAACAAAAAAAAATACATAGTAGCTTTATACGCAGCAGCCTTCACACTGGAGCTTCTCTCACACTGAGGTTTACCTCACACTCCTCAGTGGACAGCAGCTTTGGTCCACTAACTCTAACAGGCTTCGGCTTGCTCACTCTCTCCTCAAGACGACACTAACCTTTTCCTGCTTCTTGGCAGAATGGGGTTGGACTGGATGACCCACGAGGTCTCTTCCAACTCTATGATTCTATGAACTAGGTTTCCATAACACAAACAAACAAATACATAGTAGCTTTACACGAAGCAGCCTTCAAACTGGAGCTTCTCTCACACTGAAGTTTACCTCACACTCCTCAGGATGACACCAGCTTGGCCCACTAAATCTAACAGGCTTTGACCTGCTCACTCTCTTCTCAAGACGACACTAGCTTTTTCCTGCTTCTTGGCAGAATGGGGTTGGACTGGATGGCCCACGCGGTATCTTCCAACTCTATGATTCTATGAACTAGGTTTCCATAACACAAACATACAAATACATAGTAGCTTTACACGCAGTAGCCTTCACACTGGAGCTTTCTCACACAAGGCCTCTGTCATACTGAAGTTTACCTCACACTCCTCAGGACAAGATTAGCTTTTTCCTGCTTCTTGGCAGAATGGGGTTGGACTGGATGGCCCACGAGGTCTCTTCCAACTCTGTGATTCTGTGAACTAGGTTTCCATAACACAAACAAACAAATACATAGTAGCTTTACACACAACAGCCTTCACACTGGAGTTTTCTCTCATGAGGCTTCTCTCACACTGAGGTTTACCTCACACCCCTCAAGACAAGACTAGCTTTTTCCTGCTTCCTGGCAGGGGGTTGAACTGGATGGCCCATGAGGTCTCTTCCAACTCTATGAGTCTATGAACTAGGTTTCCATAACAGAAACAAACAAATACATAGTAGTTTTACACACAGCAGACTTCATACTGGAGCTTTCTCACATGACGCTTCACTCACACTGAGGTTTACCTCATACTCCTCAGGACAACACCAGCTTTTTCCTGCTTCTTGGCAGGATGTTGGACTGGATGGCCCATGAGATCTCTTCCAACTCTATGATTCTATGATTCTAACTGTAGTATACTGCCTTTAGGAATTAGTTATTCTGTGTTATAGACTGCGCAAGAAGATGGCAGTAGCTGAGGAGAGGAACCTTCCCAGTGTTTCCTCCTTCTCCCACCCCCACCGCCCTCCCTTAGGGAAGTATCTGTTCAAACACAAGCGCTCTGCTTACCTGCAGCAGCGATGTAATGGTCTCACATTAGCCGTGGCGGCCGGCGGTTTGATGCGCTATCGCTTCCGTCAGTATGTTTAATTGCCAGCAAATGGCTAA